CCTCCAAAGCCCCCTTTAACCCACCTCAAAAAAACTGGCTACACCACCTAAAACATGGTAATCTTGGGCCAGAAACTGCAACCGGCGTAAGTGAATGTTAAAAAAAATTAGGTACTTGGTTTGACTTTTTCCGTCTACCCAAAAACATTTATGGATGTTACTTGACTGAGTTATGACCGTTGTAACTTTTGATGGGTGTGTCAAAACTGCGTCGATCCTGAATTAAATAGCACTGGATGTTAAAATGTGTTTAAATAAGACAAAATCTTTGCATGTTCTCGAGTTGTTTGCAGTTTTGCTGGCTATGAGAACCAGCACAATTTCGGTGGAAAACGGGCATCAGTGACATCCATCAGTCTGAGACTTTTTCTCTGAGTCACTGCAGTCTATCACTCGTTCTTCTAAATTAAATTAAGGGCTTTAGAAATAAATCATAAATTTATGCTCAAGCAAATGCTAAGCCTGACCTATTTTTCCTCGGTTGTATTCTGGCCTGCTCGGGTGGAGGGACAGACACAGAATTTTATCTAAAAACATCTTTAATGCGCAGATTCATAGACAAGGCTTAAGCCTGGTGCAAGACTGTCTTAACTGAAATTAACTTGCACTGACATATCTTAAAATGTTATTGCCATTGATTTGTATCGTGATGCACGCCAGCAATGTTTTCTCTATGGCACATTTAAAAAAAAATTTTTTTTTAAACTGCTTGAATGTTCTAATTAGTGCTGGGCGGTATGACCGAAAATTTATATCACAGTATTTTTCAAAATTATACCGGTTTCACGGTACATGACGGTATTTTTTTTTAGGGATGCACCGATATGAAAATTTTGGCCGATAACCGATTATTCTTTATTTTTGAAAGCCGATAACCGATATGTTGGCCGATAAATCTATATCCAAATTGTTATATACTTTTTGAGAGCCTGATTACAAAAAAGGTCTCATCATTAAAAGCCACATCCCAAACACTTCAACATAAGCAGCCTAGTTTGAACGGTGTACGTTTTAAAAATATTTTTACTCTCCCATTACCAAATTTAGTCATAAAAAAGTCTTACAAATAAATAAAATAATGCATAAATAATGCAAACAAGTCACTGGACATCATTACACGTGTAAAGAATCAAAATGAATGCGCCATAGATCAATAAAACGGAATAGCCTCTGCACGGACAATAATTAAATGATTTTAATTACTAAACCATATTGTTGATGAAAATAATAAGAGAACAATACAAGTGGTTGTTGTTATTAATAATGTATCAATGATTTTGAAAAAGTAACAAATTAATACCACTGTTTTAAATAGCAGCCGTTGAGCTGCGCGTGCTGAAGCTGAAGAGCTGAATGAACATGGTAAACTGAAGCGTTTTGCTGGCAGCTTATTTAATTCAAGGAAATGCATCCTGAGATTAATATTAATACAACATAAACATAATATTACAACTTATATATGTACAAAATGATGCAGTTATTGCGTGCTATAGTCAGAATGTGTGATCCTGTTGTGGATGCGCTCTTCCCATAACAACGCGCTGAAACACGGCAACTAAACCCAAAGAATTCCCAACGTTTTATTATAATAATGTTCTCATTAGAATGTTATATACACGACATTCCCAATCATAGTTATTAATGTTGTGCACTGCTGTTTGGGCTGCGTGTGCTGAGCTAAAGATGATCACTGGTAAACTGAAGCGCTCTTTTAACTTAACCAATCGCATTCTATATGAGATAAATCAGATATACATCAAATAAACACAATATTACAATGTACAATTGCACAAAAGGCTGCAAACGAACAGCGCGCATCTGAAGTGTCTCTGAAGGAAATAATGCATTATTTATCGGCTTTAAGATATCGGCCAAATTTTCTTATCAGGCCGATACCGATAACAGAAAAAATGAGCCGATATGGGCCGATACCGATATGGTGGCCGATATATCGTGCATCCCTAGTTTATGCGGTTTAAGGTTCAAAAAACATTATTTTCCACATACTGTACATTATTGTTTCTCCTCTATGCCCCGCCTTTCTGAAACGCGTCGATTTTTACAAAGCTCATCGGTCTGAAAAACGAGGTGTGCTCTGATTGGCCAGCTATCCAGTGCGTTGTGATTAGCCGAATACCTCAAGCGTGTGACGGAAATGTTACGCCCCTTACCATACTGTGATGGCGTGTCCCGGCCAGAGCGATGAGACAAAAACATTAAATCCCATTATAAACTAAGCATTTGTTGCATCCAGTGGCAAACACCAAGCAACTACTCTACACTGCTCAAAACTCGCGTTTGAATCATCAGTGGCAAATTCTTAAAATGAAAACGTACTTACAGTTTGTGAGTCAGAACAGCCGGCATTTTAGTCTACTCTTCCAGGATCAGGAAACAGTCCTCCATAAAATGTGCTGCACACATCTGAATATTTGGGTTGAACTGTTCTGGAACAGTGTTGTAAATACAACTTAACCACTGATTTCTAGTCGTGTCTTCTTTTGATAGGCCAAACAAAGTATTTTCACTTTCACAACGAAACACACAGAACACAAACACACACACATCTTCACGACATGGCGGCAGCAACAATACTACAGCGAGAATAGAAGTTACGCCTTCTCTCGTTACGTGAACATTTGGGTGGCGTTATGCAAATCTTCCCACATATTGACGTAGACGTGGAGGCGTGTTAGAACAAGCCGTTTTAGGAGGGTGTGGTTGACTCTTAACTTTTATAAAGAATGTCTATTTGGATTTGAGACTTTAGTCTTTGCATCTTTACAGATCTTCTTTATGCACCAAGAGCTTGTAACACTCCAAAGAGAAAGGAAAAATTGAAATCGCATCATATGACCCCTTTAACCATATTGGTGGGAATTATCAGAGCAGCAGTAGGAAACTCTACAGCTACATCATATGGCCTCAAATTCAGCTCACATAGAGCTGTGTTGAGAGCCTCTAGAGGGGCCGGCTGGGGACTGCGTCTGGATTGGACTGGCTCTGAGCATGAAGGGTACATTTTGCACAGTCCCTAGCAGACGCCATGCTGTTCGTGTCTGCTCACGGAGGGGATGCGTAAATCTCAGTGCATTGTGGTGTAAGGTCATTGTGTACCTAATGAAGATGTTGCATATTGATCACATGCTCCCAGTCACATGTTTTATTCAGGTCGCGATGGTCCTGTTCAAATGCTTAGTTATTTCTCAGTGCCATACTGTGTGTTCATGAGACACGCAGGTATCAGGATGGTCCTGATGTTGACCTGTGGTTTGTTTGTGTGATTCATAGTCAGCTCAAGCACACCGCATTAAGACTACATCATATATAATGAATGAGTATCAACACAGCAATCTGCTGATTAATTTGAGCTGCAGACATACAGCAAAACAAGGTGGTTTTGGACAGACCAGCTCTTGTTCGTTCATAAACAAGTTTTAGATATTTTAGACGTAGGGCTAGGCAATATAGATGCCTTCTGGTGAGATGTATTTGCTCTAAAATGGCTTGAAAATAGTTGTTGTTGTTTAGTACCTTCAAAAATTTCATGCAAGATATAAAACAGTAAAATTTAGATAAATCATGTTTTCTACATTGTCTTGTTCTAAATGGACATATTTAGAATTATATTTATTGCAAAATTATGCTTAATTAGTTTTATATATATGCACCACCACTGTCGCGGTACACTACTGTACAAAAGTTCAAGGACAATATTTATTTATTTATTTCGTTTTTGCACAGATATGAAAAAAGGTAATTCAGCTAGGACACATTTAATTGATCAAAATGTGACAGTAATGACATTTACAATATTAGAAAAGATTTACATTTCAAGTAAATTGTGTCCTTTTGAACTTTTTATACATCAGAGAATCCTAAAAAAATGTATCACGGTTTCAACAAAAATATTATTGCCATGCACATTAGAATGATTTCTGAATGATCAAGTGACACTGAAGACTGGCGTAATGGCCCCTGAAAATTTAACTTTGTCAGCATTGTAATTTTAAATTGTAATGATATTTCACAATATTTCTGTATTTTGAGTGTATTGGAGTGTTTTGAGTTATTTATTGCCAAGGGTTTTTATTACTCGAAAAAAGTCTTCCATCAAGTTTTTTATTTTATTTTTGCCTGCTTTATCATTCATCGGATGAAAATCTGAGGTGTAAGGCTGATTGTAATAGCCTCAACAACACTAATTATTTTCAATCTGCCACATACTGTATTCACATTCCAAATTCACACTACTGCTGAGTCAGTGAAGCCAAGCTGGGCTGTTCAAACAAACAGAGCCGTGTTTTGAAAGCACCACACAACTGAAGTCTACACTTTTGAGAATTTAACCCATATGAGTGGCTTACTTATAATTGCCTCACAGATAAAACCTGGATAAGAGAATTTGTTTAACACCAAAGAAAATTGCATCACCAAAATTTAGACGTAGTTGATTTTTCAGTTCAGGTGATATTTCTGCCCTCTTTTTTTCCATGCTGAAAGACCATTTATGTACTGTATGTGAAAATGAGTAGGACTTTAAGAAATTAAAGATATTCAGGCTTATGGTCTTAGATAATGTGCCATCAATCATCTGTTATCCATCCTGGAATAGTAATAGCATCACTCTAGTCAATTTTAGTCACGATCCAAAAGGCTTCTCTATATGTAATTTCTTAAATAGAGCTTCCTCAAGCAAACTAATCGATCATATTTACTAATGCACATAAAGAACTACTGTATGCGTATTGCTGTTTGGATGTATGACAGTTATTGCGGCCTCCACGTGACTTTGGGTGTGGTGTGAAGAAATACTTATCTAGTTTTTGCAGGCCTGCCTGTGTGCATTTGCACGTGCGTCTAATATTAATATGCAAACATGCCTATATGTCCTTCTCATGCACATATATGTAAAATAAAACTCTTCCATGATGTGCATAAGGATCTTTCATTAACATAACTCCAGATTATAACTGAATAATTTTCATATTGTATTTCTTTTTTGCTTGCTCTCTTCCAGCCATCTCGCTTGGTCCTGCTTTGCCTATCCTTTCCTTTTTTGCCTGTTTTCCTTCTATCCTCCTTCTCCTCTTTACCACACTGGGAGAAAGAAGATGAGTAGAACTCCCACCCCTAAAGGGACTCCGGTCCAGCACAGTCCTGTAGATGGGGAGTGTCTGGAGGGAGAAATGATCCAGTCTCCCCAGCAGTCAATGCCATCCAGCGGCCTCAAGAAACGAATTTCCAGTCTCCTGCAAAGCCCTGTGAGTAAGAAAGTGTGCGTTAATAAGTGAAGCTCATATATTTGCATTTGAGAATTGACTCAGATTTGTGTTTACATCCTTGTGGGCTAAAAGAGCGCAACGCTGATCATCTACTTTTTTAGCAGCTTTGATTCCGGAAGGTTTTTTCCCCCATTGATGTTTTCCATAGGGGTTCAAAAAAAGCAAAAAAAAATTCAAACCAGCCACTTCTGAGAGAAATCACAAAAAAGTCAATTCTGAGTAAAAAGAGTATGAAAATCTGAACAAAAAAATTAACTACTTAATAAAAAATAAAACAACAACAACGTTGTTTTGGTTGCGTAATTTGCACTTAATAATAAATAATATTAATAAATATTTTATATTTGATGAGAACTAATATATTTCAATGATAATATATGAAGAAAATAGAGTATATACGTAAATTATTATTATTATTTGAAATGACTAATATTATTATTATCTGAAGAAACTTGCTCTGATTTCAACAAATATGCAACTTATTTTCTATGCATCATTATAGCATTTGATTTAGAGCAAAAGGTATATGAAAACCTAAACAAAAATCAACTGAAAAAAATGGCAGCAGATTGATTTGATTGTCAATTGCAATTAATAATAAAGTAAATAATAAATATTATATATTTGGAGTTAATATATTTTAATATTATTAGTATTTAAATGATAATATATTAATAAAATTATGAGTTTATAATTGTAACTATAATTGAGTTTATAATTATAATTATTATTTGAAGAGAATTGCTGTTTTCCTTAAATATGCAATATATTTTCATTGAAACATTATAACATTTGAAGCAAAAAATATGTGAAAATCTAAAAAAATGTAAAAAATAAACTACTTGGTTGAATCACAGTAACTATAATTTAATATAAAACTGTTAACTTACAGTCTTTAATTATAAGTCATTCTGGTCATTTGGTCCTCACACCGCTATTCTTCGAATGGTTTACATGATGTGAAACAAGGTGTTAATGGTATTAGTGTGCTAAAATATATAGCCAATGCTCCACAGGAAAAGACAGAACTTCTATAAAATGGGTCTCTTAAATGCACGTTCCATATCAAACAAGGCTTTTATTCTGAATGACATTTTAACGTTGCATATGCTGGATTTTTTATTTATTACTGAGACCTGGTTGAATCAGATGTCTCTGGGTGATTTGACACCACCAGGCTGTGACGTTTTGAATTCCCCTCGGACCTCAGGATGTGGAGGTGGTGTTGCTACTGTTTTTCGAGATTGTTTTAAATGTAGACTGCTATCCACAGAAATGTGTATTCAAGCTTCGAGGTACAATTGTTGAAGATTGATTCTTTGGACTCTTTTTTTTTTGTGCCTAAATATATAGACCTCCTAAACTCAATAATGAGTTCATCCACCATTTTTCTGATTTTCTGTCTGGACTGGTGTCTCGCTATGATAAACTTTTGGTCATTGGGGATTTTAATGTGCATTTATGTAGCCACTGGTTAATTAATTTCTTTCTCTTATTGAGTCTTTTAATTTAATACAACATGTTTCTGGTCCTACTCATAAGAAATGTCACACATTAGATCTTGTATTGTCATATGACTTTTCTGTATCTAATTTAGAGGTTTCAGATGTAGGCATCTCCGATCATTATTCAGTGGTATTTGATGCTGTTTGTTCTTTTGTTCCCCTAACCTCTTCTCAGCATTCATATTATGCTAGGACTATTAAAGGGGTTATATGATGCTTTTTTAAAGATCATTATTTTGTGTATTTGGTGTAACAGAATATGTTGACATGCTTTAATGTTCAAAAAACACATTATTTTTCAAATACTGTACATTATTGTAGGTCCTCTAAGCCCCGCCTCACTCAAACGCTTCGTTTTCTACAAAGTCCCTCCTTCCGACAAGCGCAGTCTGCTCTGATTGGCCAGCTGACCCAGTGCATTGTGATTGGCCGAACACCGCAAGCACTAGTCGGAAATGTAACGCCCCTTACCATAATCGCGAGCTTCATTTTTCAAAATAAATGTAAAGACAGTAAATAATTATTATAATCATAATCATTAGTTTTACCATCAGTTCAAGCCCGAAAGGGGAACAGAGTCGCGTGACAGACACAGTGATGAAGCTGGTGTGTGTTTGTGATTTTGTAATGTAAGTAATCTAAATGCATCTACTTTCGGAAGGCCAAATAAAGTGCTTTTGCTTTCGCCTAGAAACACACAGCGTCTCCCTGACATGCTGCTTCAACACTAACTGCGGTTACTGAAACCATGCCTTCTTTCTTTGCGTGAACATTTGGGCGGCATTATGCAAATATTTCCACATAGTGAGGTAGATATGTGGGGGCGTGTTAGGACGGGTCGTTTTAGGGGGGCATGGCAGAGTCTTAACTTTGATAAAGAATATCTCTTTGGTTTTGAGACTTTAGTCTTTGCAACTTCAGGGATCTTATCTATGCACAATCAGCTTGTAACACTCCAAAGAGAAAGGAAAACTTGAAATCGCATCATATGACCCCTTTAAGTCTTCAACTGCTGATTCTTTTTCGGAATTCTATTCATCACATTTTAATGACAATGTCACAGGTGGGGATGATATTGGATTGCTGGTTGAAGCTTGTAATAAGTTGTGTACTCGTGCTTTAGATAATGTTGCCCCGCTTAAATTAAAAAAAGTAAAGGAGTCTCTCAACCTTGGTTAAGCAGTGTCACCCGTTCTCGGCTTCAAATTTAATTTGAGGTGTTAAAGAAATGCCTGTTTAACTATCAGAAGGCAGTAAAGGATGCAAAAATGAAATTCTTCTCAAGGGTAATTTTCAGATAATGTAAATCAACCAAAAGTAATGTTTGACACAATTGAGTCTGTTTTAAACCCTTCAAGGAATGTAATGCTAGAGACTTCCAATTGTACATTCACATTACCAAATCCAACACAGTCTACTTTTTTCACTCACTTTGAACCAGTTTCTTCAGCTCAGCTTGCGGACATTGTCTCTAAAATGAAGGGAGGTAGTCGCAAGTCAAATATTCTCCCTCCTCATTTTTTAAAGATATAATCAGCAGCTCCTTGATGAGTGGAGTAGTATCAACTAGTTTTAAACATGCAATTCTTCATACCTTGTTGAAAAAAACTAATTTGGTTCATACAGTGTATAATAATTTTAGACCTATTTCTAAAATGCCTTTTATTTCCAAGATTTTAGAAAAGTGGTTTATTCATAACTCTTCTCATATTTGAACACTTTTGGTATTAGATATATTCCAGTCGGGCTTTAGGACCTTCTATAGCACCGAGGCTGCACTACTTAAAGTTACTAATGATATCCTATTATGGTAGGATTCAGGATCACATGTTGTTTTAATTTTGTTAGATCAAAGGGCTGCTTTTGATACAATTGACCATAAGATTCTTCTTAATCATTTGGAGTGTTGGGTTGGTGTCCAGGGCACAGCCCTTTCAGTGGTTTGCATCGTAGTTAAAGGACAGGACAGTTTCAGTGCAGTGAGGAGACTTTTCTTCTACATCTGCTCCTTTAGTATGTGGTGTTCCGCAGGGATCGATTTTGGGGCCGCTGTTGTTCTCTTTGCCTATGCTTCCTTTGGGCAACATTTTTTGGAAGTACAGTCTTACTTACCATTGTTATGCCAATGATCTTCAGTTTTATTTTCCTGTGAGCCTAGATGAATCATGTTCTTTGGATAAAGTACATGAATGCTATACTGACATTAAGCTCTGGCTCTCTAACAACTTCAATTAAATGAGAGAAGACTGATTGTAGGTTCCTCTATGTCACTGCTCAGCTAGGTTCACTTTCCTCAAAGCTTGATGATCATGTTAAGACTGTAGGGGTAATTTTGGATTCATCACTAAATTTGTATAAATTTATATAAGTTTATATAAATAAATTTGCTTTGCTTTGCTTATAAGTTTGTTTGAAGTTAATGATAATATATAAGCAGTTTAAGAGTGTAGGGAGATTTGCAATTAACATTAATAATAATAAATATTATATATTTGCAGTTATATTTTAAAATATTTATCTGAGCTCCTGCTATTTATGCTTTGAAGGTTTTATATATTATCACCATCAATACATTTTCTCTACAGAGAAAATGAATGAGGTTTTTACTTCCAGTATCCTGCTTTTGCGCTATAATAGGAATTATATGATTATAAGTAGGGCTGTAGAAGTGAACCAGCATTCAAGTGGCTGCTATAAGCTTTCGAAAGCTCACTGAAACAGCATATCTCCCATCCGCTGAGGACCCACATTGGTTTGTCTCCTTTTATTCGCCTGTTCTGTCCACCCTTTAATGTCCTGCCTCCAATCCCTATGTCCTCTCTCCCCTTCCCCCTCATTAGGTTCCCAAAGATATGATTATCTCCACAGCTCAGATATAATCTGCCCTGAATCACCACGGACAGCTGCAGCCGTAGAGAGAGAGATAGAGAGAGAGCCGGGGAGGAGAAAACATAGAGAGTGCAGGGAGTTTTAGGTGTTGGTGCAAAACAATAAAAACCACTCCGTATGGAGGGAACGTGTTGAGTGAAGGACAGAACTGAAGAGGTCAATTATTTTTCTTTCTCTGTTGTGGACTGTACTGGATCCTGTAACTCAAAAATTCTTCCTGCTCTTTGTTTCCGTATGTTCACAAATGTATTGTTTTATCAGGGTTTTATGTCTGTTATACTGTATTTGGGTGTGCTGCATTCAACTGTTAAATATGTGACCGACTGTCATTGTTTAATGCTTTATTTAAAACTTATACAACATTTCTGATTCTTGTGTAATTATTACAGTACTTACAAGGTAAAACTGTATTGATATTCCTCAAACATTCTAGTTAAAGTTTATTACAAACTTTCTTAAACTCCTGTTCTTCCGTAATAAACATCTGAAATTAATTCAGTCTAAACAGCTTAACACAAATTATTCATAAATTCTATTCAGACTTTCTGAAATATATTTCAGTCTATTGACAGTTTTTGTAAACTTTTGACTTTTTAAGAACTTTGAGATTAAACTTTAGCGATTGCTTCAGTTATTCTTGCATATACGTTTAGCAATTTATAGCTACATTTACTAAAGACTGTCATGGTATTTGTTGATAATGATAGAAAAGAAAGGGAAAGACTGTATTGCAGTGTTTCGTTTACATATAAAAAGCCTAAAAGCTAAACTTGTGAAACCTTAATACTGTTTTTTTTTCTTAAGGAAATGCTAATCTGGTTACAGTATACATTACGTTTTTTTTTTAGAAATTAATACTTGTATTCAGCAAGGGTGTATTAAATTGATCAAAAGTGACAGTAAAACCTTTTTTTTTTTAATCAAATAAATGCTGTTCTTCAAACTTTGTTTCCACAAAAATATAAAGCAGCACAACTGTTTTAAACTTTTATAATGAGCACCAAATCAGCATATTAGAAGGATTTCTGAAGGATCATGTGACACTGAAGACGAGTAATAATGCTGAAATACAGCTCTGCATCACAGGAATAAATACAATTAAAAAACATATTAACATAGAAAACAGCTCTTTTAAATTGTAATAATGTTTTACAATATTACTGTTTTTACTGTATTTTTGATCAAATAAATGCAGCCTTGGTGAGTATAAATTCTGCTTTCAAAAACATAAAAAAAAAATCTTAACCAAACTTGAAGTGAAAGAGCAAAAAGAAAAAAAAGGTAAAAAAAAAAAAAAGGTTACCAGTTACATTCTGTAATAATATCTCTAAATGTACGCCTAAAATGCTGCTTTTTTTATAATAAATTAATGGACGTGTTATTTAACAACCAGCTATGTGCACAATGTGCTTTTTCCTTTATTTGTGTGTACTAGTGCATTGTGTAGCTGAGTACTGAATCTTATTTGTATGTTTTAGTCCTTTAGAGAGGAGCTGGATGTGTTGATTCAGGAGCAGATGAAGAAAGAAGGAAGTTCCTCCAATATGTGGGCTCTCAGACAGATTGCAGACTTCATGGCCACTCACGGATCTCCAGCCTCGCTGCCCATCACTCAATCCAGTACGTAACACATGCAGTCATTTACCTGGGAAGGATTTACAAATGATTTACTCAGAAGGTTGTTCTGTTTGTGTTTCATAAATAAAGCCTGATGTGTTTACACTACATTTCATAAAAATACTGCACATCCTTCTCTGCTTAGTGATCTCTTTCACTTGTAAAATCATGTGGATTATTGTCATATATAAGACAAAAGTATTCTTTATATCTATTGCCCAATAAGAGTTTTTTGGAAGCTTGTTTCTGTCACAGAATAAAATCATTAAAAAAGTATTTGCAAACTGTTCTCACAACTCTGACTTTGAGTTTATATCTTGCAATGGCGAGTTTACGTCGAGAGATTCTGAGTTTACATCTTGCAAATTTGATTTTTTTTTTTCTGACATGGAATAAAAATAAAAATGGTAATTTCAATTTTTTATAACATTTTTTTTTTTTGGTGATTGCAAGTTTATATCTCAAAATTCAGACTTCTCAGAATTAAGAAGTAACATCTCAATTCTGAGTTTATCTCTTACAATTCTGAATAGCAAGAAAAAGTTAGAATTGAGAGATATAGTCTCAGAATTGCGCGGGGGGGGAGTCAGAAATGTGAGATAAAAAAATTGCAATTACTTTCTTACTTTTCAATCCCGTGACAAAAACAAGCTTCCATGGAGTTTTATTTTCATGCAACGTTCATTCATATATCATTATTGTTCAATTCAGACACTTACAAGTAAGAGGAGTTTTAGTTTCAAACACAATGAATTTAATTCATGAAGTAAATTCAGTTGTGCTTTTCAAATGGCTGTTTTTCTGTCTTTCGTGAAAAGGGTTTTGAGGTGAAATAACCTGATGTCTGTCACACCACTTAAACTGCAGTAGACAAACTATTGTAGTGCTGCTCTTTTTATGCAAATTCCTTCATCACTAAGACTTTCACTGACACACACTCGTGCTGTTTGTCTTGTTGCTCATGCCTGTACAGCTGTTACCATGGTGACCCCCATTAACGATCTGCACGGATGCGAGCCGGGCTCCATGGTGAAGGGGGAAAGACTGATGCGCTGCAAGCTGGCTAGCGTACACCGTCTGGTGGATCTGTACGGCTGGGCCCAGCTGGCCAACACGTGCCTCACAGTAAGGAAACATGACCCATAAAACCTTCTGTCAGTGTGCCAAGAATCCTGAAAAGTGCTCACTGTTCACTACGTGCTGATCAGACAACTTTTATCTATGAGCTTGATTGATTTAACAATGTAATGAAGGTTGAAAATACATTTTTTTGATAGAAGTCTCTTATGCTTACCAAGGCAGCATTTATTTGATCAAAAATACAGTAGAGACAGTATTGTGAATGTTATTTTCTATTTTAATATATTTTAAAATGTAATTTATTCCTGTGATGCAAAGCTGTATTTTCAGCATAATTGCTCCAGTCTTCAGTGTCACATGATCCTTCAGAAATCAATCTGAAATGGTGATTTGCTGCTCAAGAAACATTATTATTATTATTATTATTATTATTATTATCAACTGTTAAAAACAGTTGTACTGCTTAATATTTTTAAATAAACCATGATACATTTATTTTCAGGATTCTTTGATGAATAAAAAGTTCAAAAAAGAGAGACTTTTTTTACAGTATAAATGTTTTTAAGTGTCACTTTTGATCAATTTAATGTGTCTTTGCGGAATACAATTATTAATTTATTTCAAGTGAAATCTTTCCAAATCCAAACTTTTGAGCGGTAGTGTACGTGTCTTCTTAAACTGTTATGTAACTCAAGCTTATGATAATAAAAAAGTTCACATATAGTGCACTTTAAATAACTTCACACAGCTGCCAGTCTATCAATTCTGAGGCACATTAAGCTGATTAAAAAAATGTCCTTTAGCATACTTATTCATATCTCCTATGCTAAATCTATAAGGATTTGAGTGTCTTTAAAAAGCCTATCTTAACAGGAAGTGATTTTGTGATCAGGTCTGCTAAATGAGGTTGCTGGTTTGATTTTCACAAGAAGTATGAAAATCAGAACTCTTAAAGGGATAGTTCACTCAAAAATAAAAGGGGTTCTTCTGTGGAAGTCCTTACCATAAAAGTAAGGACTTGTACACTGTAGTACAAATATAGCTTTGTGTGAAACAGACTGACAGAAATAAAAGTCAATATCTCTTAAAATCTTAGATAAATCTGCACAGGTTTGATCGGATATGAGAATGAGTAAGAGATGGCAGAATTTAATGGGTGTACTAACCCTTTAACCACAGGTTCCTCTAGGGAGAATGCTCCTGTAAGCGTACCGTGAGTTGCTTTAGATAAAAGCATCTCTTTCTTTCTGCAGATGCGTGTTAGTAAAGAGCAGGAACATTTCCTGGTGCTGCCAGATGGTCTGGCCTACGGGGAGGTGACTGCCTCCAGTCTGGTGAGACTCTGAGTGTCTGCAAACACACACTAACCAAACTTGTTCCTCTCATGTCCTGCAACATGGCTCCCTATGACAGCCTTTAACTGGCCAAAAGCATTCAAATGAAGGTCACCAGAAAAAGGAGTGATTGTGTGTAGTATTTGCTGATAAAACTGAAAGATTCAGCATGTTCTGGACATATTTTGGACATAGTTGGAAAAATAAGGCACTAGAAGTTGTTAAAGGGGTCATATGATGCGATTTCAAGTTTTCCTTTCTCTTTGGAGTGTTACAAGCGGTTCGTGAATAGATAAGATCCCTAAAGTTGCAAAGACTATAAAGCACTGGATAGCTGGCCAATCAGAGCACAGCTCGCTTTTCAGACCGATGAGCTTTGTAAAAAATCGACGCGTTTAGAAAGGCGGGGCATAGAGGAGAAACAATAATGTACAATATGTGGAAAATAATGTGTTTTTTTAACCTTAAACTGCATAAACACATTTCATTACACCAAATACACAAAATAATATTCTTTTTAGCAACATCATATGACCCCTTTAATCATGAAAATATTTCTCGTTTTCATGCATGTGTACAAACTGTCAAAAATGTACATTTTGTAATGGATAAAATAAGAAACAATGCAGTTCACAGTTAAAGGGAAAATGCAGTCATTTCATTTTTATTTTAAATTATTCTTTTTGTATTGAAATATAAATGTATATTGAAATTATTATTAAATTCTTTTTTTATAAAATGTATTAAAACATGATGGAAACGTAGTCAATTATGCAGTTGGATCTAATTTTTCAAGTGAAAGCTTCATTAAAGCATGTACTCTCTATGATGTCCAGGTGAAGGTGAATATTCTCGGGGAGGTGGTAGAGAAAGGCAGCACTACTCTGGGAGTGGATCTGTCTGCATTCAGCTTGCACTCTGCGATCTATTCAGCTCGACCGGACGTCCGCTGCCTGCTGCACCTCCACACTCCAGCCATAGCTGCGGTACGTCACGCGCTTGCCTACGAAAAGTCCCAACTGCTGAAACAGCAACTTACAGTGGAGTATTGTTTTCTACACACAGTCCCTGATCTAAACAAATGGCATTTAAATTAAATAATTTGTAGTTGAAAATGTAACTAAATATTATTACTAAACGTATTTATCCATCCATCCATTATTTATAACCCAAGTTTGTGAAACACATAAATGACTAGTATTTTATTATCTCATCTTATTTTATCTTATCTTACCTTACCTTACCTTCTCCCCCAGCATTGCAAAACACATAAATGTAAATTATTTTTTATTTTATTTTTATTTTATTTTACCCCATGTTTGTGAAACATGTAAATGACTTGTATTTATTTGTTTATTTTTATTTATTTATTTTATATTTATCCCCCAGGTTTGTGAATTATAAATGATAAATAGATACACATAAATGACTAATATTTATTTTATTACTAGTCTAGTCCAGTCTTCCACTGATGGCAAAAAGATGTATTATTCCATTATTAAAAATATTAATAATCAATATAATTATTATCATATTATTTAGAAGCTCAAATTACCTAGAAACCTGAGAGCTGTCGATTGTTAACGTTTTAAAATGCTTTAGGTAGCACTTTTAGCTGCCATTAATACATTCTGTCATTAATCTTAATATGTGGGTTTTATTATTCTAGCACTGGTCTGCTTCTGTAACTCACCACTATTAATCTTTCATGTAGGTATCAGCCATGAAATGTGGCCTTCTACCGTTATCCCATGAGGCTTTGCTGGTGGGCGAGGTAGCTTATTATGACTATAATGGAGTGATGGAGGCAGAAGAGGACAGAGTGGAACTCCAGAAGAGCCTCGGCCCTACATGCAAGGTTAGATCCTAGATTACAGACACAGATTATCGGTAGTAAATATCCTGCTCCCTCAGAACGTGATGATGTGAGGCTCTCAAGGTGGAAAATGGGTTGATGAAGCATTCTTGTACAGGTGTTGGTATTGAGGAACCATGGAATCGTGGCACTGGGAGAGTCAGTGGAGGAGGCCTTTTACACAATTTACCACATCCAGACCGCCTGTCAAATACAGGTAAGAAAAAAAAACAAATTACAGCCCTTCCTGTGAGGGCAAAATATTAATATAAGAGAAGATTAGTGGGACAGTAGGACAGAGTGAGTGAGAGTGAAGAGAGATAATACTCAGAGTCAGTCAACTGAAACACAGAATAGAAACACAAAGTCATATTTGTTGTATAAATATAAATATAAATAAAAATTATAATAAAAATTTTATATTAAAAATACACTACCTTTCATAACATAGAGGTCGGTACGATTTTTTAAAATGTTTTCTATTTCAAAAATACAGTAAAAACAGTGAAATATTATTACAATTTAAAATAACTTTTTTGTACTTTAATATATTCTTAAAATGTAATTTATTCCTGTGATGCAAAGCTGAATTTTCAGCATCATTACTCCAGTCTTCAGTGTCACATGATCATTCAGAAAACGTTCTAATATGATGATTTGCTGCTCAAGAAACATTTCTTATTATTGCCAGTGCTGCTTAATATTTTTGTGGAAAATAAAAATATTGGAAAAGAAGTTATACATTACATTATAAAAGTCTTTAATGTCCCATTTTATCAATTTAATGTGCCCTTGCTGAATAAAAGTATTAATTTCTTTAAAAAAAAATCTTACTGAGCACAAACTTTTGAACAGTAGGAAAATATTTACAGTAAATATACATTTTTTCTAGTTTTTCTAGTTTTCGCTTTGCTATATATTCCATCAGCTGCATATAGCGTGATTGTGTAGAGTAAAAACACCAATGTAAAGCATGTGATAAATCTGTCACTTGAAGGTCTTATTGCTGATATCTGTATACTAATAACTACAATGGTTTGAATCTACTAATTCAAGCAAATTGCACATGGGAAATCTGCCTCAGCAATCGGTTTCAAATTTTCTAATCATTCCATGAATGACTGGAGAGGTCATGGAAAAGTCATGGAAATCCATTGGTCAAAAGTTATGTGAACCATGAGAGAAACACAATAAAGGATTGTGAAAAGTGGAAAAAAAAGTGCAGAAGGTGAATAGCAGAATGCAGTTTGTCCATATTGAGTCATGCTGCAGTGTTGTGCTGTCCTGGCAGGTGGCAGCACTGTGCAGCGCTGGAGGGGAACAAAACCTAATCATGCTGGACCGCAACATTCACAGGCCAGTCGCCACAGGAACTGTGGGTTGGGCCGGATCCACCTTCGGCCCCATGCACAAGAGCAGGCTGGGAGAACATGAGTTTGAAGCATTGATGAGGACGCTGGACAATCTGGTTCGTCTAAAAACTTAGCCAATCTAGACCAGGGGCCAGTTGCATAAACATAGACACTATGTTAAGACTGTGTCTTAAGAGCTAGTTTCACCAACTAGCAGTTAGCCAAGAGATAATCAGTCTCACTTTTCTGAATAAAATTGGGCCAATCTACATTTTTGTTATTGACTTTAAACAGGTATGACCAGTCTAGAAGAAAACAAATTAGATGGCTTGATTTTTAAGACTTGTCTAAGCAGTTTATGCAACCGGCCCCAGAGCTATTTACCACATTGTGAGTTTATTACTGGTAGACTTGACATTTGAACATTTGGTCATCATTCTTTAGGGTTACCGTACAGGATACGCCTACCGTTTCCCAGTGCTGCTGGAGCGCTCCAGAACCAGGAGAGAGGTGGAGGTTCCTGCCACCGTCACGTCATTTTCCTTTCATGAGGACGGAGTTCAGCCTCACCCCCGACTCCATCCCCATGCCCAGAGACAACAGCAGAAGACTAGATGGCTGAACACCCCAAATGTCTATCAGAAAGTCAGCCAGGACCAGGCCAGTCCGGGACATCGGACTACGGTGAGAGAGAATTTATGGAACTTGTGTAAACTTTATATAACTTGAGTATGGCTGATATTGTACTACAATAGGAGTAATGGGTAGGGTTCATATAATTTCATAATCAAAGTGTGAAAAATATTTACATTTACATATTTAAACTTATTAGCATCGACCACTAAACTGTACTCATACTTAAGGGTTAAAGGGTTAGTTCACCCAAAAATGAAAATTCTGTCATTAATTACTCACCCTCATGTCGTTTCAAACCCGTAAGACCTTCGTTCATCTTCGGAACACAAATTAAGATATTTTTGATGGAATCTGAGAGCTGTCTGACCCTGCATAGACAGCAATACAACTTAAATGTTCCCAAGTCCAGAAACGTAGCAAGGAGATCGGTAAAATAATCCATGTGACATCAGGGGTTCAACCGTAATTTTATGAAGCTATACGAGAATACTTTTTGTGTGCAAAAGAAAAAAAAAAAAACTTTATTCAACAATTCGTCTAAAAATTTAAATTTGCTGAAAACGTACTCACCCTCAGGCCATCCAAGATGTAGATGAGTTTGTTTCTTCATCAGGACAGATTTGTAGAAATTTAGTATTACATCACTTGCTCTGCAATGGATCCTCTGCAGTGAATGGATGCCGTCAGAATGAGAGTCCAAACAGCTGATAAAAACATCACAATAATCCACATGACTTTAGTCTATCAATGAACATTTTGTGAAGTGAAAAGATTCATGTTTGTAAGAAATGTATCAAGATGTTTTTAAATTCAAACCTTTGCTTCCAGCTAAAATATAGCTTTCTCTAGTGAAAAAGTAATCTCATCTGAATCAGGCGAGAAATATGCACAGATCAAGCACTGTTTACAAGTGAAAACAGTCCAAAACAGTTTTAAACAAATATGACTGTGGGCGTTATTGTGGATTATGGCCAGAGGCGTCGGTTTATGATGGATTTGTTTCTTAAAAACACATCTTTTCTTTGTCGTGTGGATTACTTGTGGATTAATGTCCAGCTGTTTGGACTCTCATTCTGATGGCACCCATTCACTGCAAAGGATTAATTGGTGAGCAAGTGATGCTAAATTTCTCCAAATCTGTTCCAATGAAGAATCACCTTCAGGCCATCCAAGATGTAAATCAGTTTGATTGATCAAATTTTAATTTTTGGCTGAGCTATTCCTTTAACTTAGCAACCACCAGAAACAACCAGATAACAATTTCCCAACAACAACCTGGCCTTGTGGTGGTGAGTTTTGCAAAAGCATCAGTCACATTTTCCTCTGAAAATGTAAGACAGGTAGTTGCCAGTATCATTTCAGTATTGCATTTTTGAATAACTAGCCTGTGGGTGTGTTGCAGTTCAGAAAATAGACTTACTGTGAATCATAGGATATTATTGGTAGAATAATGGCGTATTCGTTACATCACTGTGAGAGCACTACTGTTCTGCTGTCTCCTCTACCATGTTCCACCCACCTCCCTTTCTCATTCTCTGCAATGCAGGGGAGATATTTTATTGTCTTACAAACTCACTGCAGTGCTTGCACTGCCCTCTGCTGGTTATTTTTCAATCTGTTGCATATTTCCCTGTCATATTTCCCCTAAATTGTCTGCTTTTTAACAGCAGAGTGTCTTCCTGGAATGACTGACATGCTTTTGGTCAAGCAGCTGAATTCCTTCTGTGTTGATTTCTCCTCTTTTAGTGGCAGAAGGCAGAGGAAATCACACAGGGCAGTGGACTGGCCATTAAGATCGAGAATCCAAACCAGTTTGTCCCTCTGTTCACCAACCCACAGGAGGTGCTTGAGACTAGAAATAAGGTACAGTAAGCTTTTCTGTCATTGGGATTTAACATCTGTATTGAAACTGCAGATTTTATTGATGTAAAAAGTGAAATCAGGAAATCATCCCACAGTGGACAACACATGCATTTTGAGCAAATACACTACAGATGCTGATTAAAAATACAGTGAAACATGAAATATTATTACAGTATTAAAACTATTTTCGATTTTAACTTTTATTCCTATGATGGCAAAGCTGCATTTTCAGCATCATTACTCCAGTGTCATATGATCCTTCAAAAATAATTCTAATATGCTGATTTGCTCAAGAAACATTTATTATTATTATTATCAATGTTGAGAAGAGTTGTGCTGCTTAATATTTTTGTGGAAACCGTGATCAATTTTTTCAGGAGTCCAAACTTTTCCAGAAAAAAATACATATTTGATCATAATCAGTTGCTATCATTAGTTGTTACTGCATGTCTGTTCAAACTACCAACAGAACTGAGGGCAGATTTCAATTATTATGGCACAGAATGGTAGTCTTACCAACAGTGAGAGACAGTGTTTGTAGTGGCAGAAGTGTTGCAACATGTAGTTTCAGTTTCACCTTTAGGAGCAAGATGGCAGTGAAGGGAGGAGAGAATAGTCACACGGAAAAAAGGAGAAAGATCAGCAGATGTAGAGAGATGATTTACCAAAAAAAACTGAACATGAACTGCGTCTTTCATCAATAATATTTAAATTATATTCATGAATATGCATAAATTACGTTTGCACCTTGAAATCATTGCATTTATTACACAGGTAGATCTTTACCTGCTAAGGCATTGCTGCCTGACGCACCTCCTCCGGTGCCTACGAATTGGCAGGCTGCAGGGTCATCAGCCGGGTACCATCGGTCATTGACGTTTCGCCCCTCTAAACCCGGAACGCCTCCTGGTGGCGAGGCAGTGACAGGGGCATCTCCCTGTCACCCCCTGCAGCTTAAAAATACCATGTACGTATCTGTAGTGAGCACTTTTCATTGATCAAAATCCATTTCTAAATGATTTTGCTTGTGAGCATGTGTTGATTATGTGAACATGATCATTGGGCTTCCAGTCTCCCGAGGCTGTGGAGCCTCCAGCCACACTGGAACCAGAGACTCCAAATCCCTTCAATGAGCTGACGGATCAGGCGCTGGATGAGTACCGCAAGGAGGTGCAGCGCAAACAACACGGCCAGCAGGACGGTACGAGATGACGAGATGTAGTTTAGTCCCTCATTCTCTTTTTGTAACCCATTGATTTCTAGCCTAAGTATTGATGTTTTATTGATTTTCCCACTGGACTAAAGAAGAGAATTCAATAAACACCCACTGTCTTCCAGTACACATCCTTAGACAAGTACTGATTTGATGTCACTTTGCTACTGAATACCAGAGTTTTACTTTTTATTTATATTATCTACTCTTAAAAATGAACGTTTGGAAAAATATATATTTTAATTCAGGAAATACAACTCCAAATCTGTTCTGATGAAGAAATAAGCTCATTTACATATTTGTTGACCTGAGTTGGAGTAAATTCTCAGCAAATTTTCATTTTTGGGTGAACTATTCCTTTTGGGGGGGGGGGGGGTGTACGGTAACATGGGATGTCTGTATTCAAGTCTGTGTCAGTGTTTTCATTTCAGTTTTCATGTTTTTGTTTTTATGCGTGACATTTTCAGCTCTGTACTATGGCCTCCATCTGTCTTCACACCTTTGTGCTTCTCTGTCTGTCTCTGTCCCTGTATTATAATTTGTAGGACAATCGTTTGGTACTGAGATCTTGTCTCACTAGTGAGTATATAGAAACTAAGACATTGCACACAACTTGAATGAGCATGGTGGCCAAAACTGTAATGTCATAGCAGCTGCTTCTGTTCCATCCCTAACCATCTTGACAAATGCTTAACTGCTTTTTCTTTTCTTTTCTCTTTTCATTATTTCTACTGTACTATTTCTTTTCCGTTTTCTTTTAAATTGCATTTATATACAGATGGAAAAATCACAGATGCTGTGCAAAACGATAAAGGCGACGAAAAGAAACAGCAGGAGGAGCTAGAAAAACAAATGAAGGCCCTGTCCACCACTGACACTTCGGAAACCACGCCCTCAGCCCCGCCCAACAAGCCTGCAGGCAACACCCCAGAGGGCTCACCTTCCAAATCGCCATTAAAGAAAAAAAAGAAGTTCAAGGCGCCCTGTTTTCTAAAGAAAAGCAAGAAACAAAAAGAGAAAGCAGAATCTTGAACTCTTACAGGCACTTTCTCCAAGTGTTCTTTACTAATACTTTCACATGCATCCACACATACGTCTTCACATCCAGTCAGACTCACTGTGTATCCATGTACTGACCTTTACATGCCATACCAGTTTTTGATTAGGGTTTCGTGACTTGAAACATGTTTTCGGTACACTCTGTCCACACCGATGCAAGTTTCACAATGCTTCACTGATGCACATTGAAATGTGACCCTTCCCCTTGATTTAAAATGGATTGCACTTAGTACATGTATAGAAGAAAAAAGAATGTGGCATTGAGTAAGCATTGATTGTTCATGTCTATTGATTCTGATTGTTGCTCATTATCATGTTTATATAATTACATGTGGCATAACTGTTCTAAAATCTTTTTTTAACTACCCATAAACATCTACATCTCATTTTGTTATGAATAGCAGGGATAAACTAATTGAATATGCACCATTCACTGGAAATCATGATTGCAATGGCTTGCAAATAACACACGTCAAAAGGCCAAAATAAGCAAGATCATGGCTTGTTGCTGCAAAGAAAATCCAACTTTAAATGCATGGCTTTGATCCACTTGTTTTTTGGGTTTTGTTTGTATCTTTATTTTATATGTATGCTGGAGACTTCTTTGCAGTTGTAATTATTTTTATGATCATTCACTGTTATTTAAATGCTTTTTGTGTATATTAGCTGGTTTGTAAACTTAAATCCATGTCAATATTAGAATGTAAAATGCTAGGATCGGATGTACCATTCATTAAAGATCACATCCATGCAAAGTTGTTGTAGTCTGTTTCTTTGGGGTGGATTTCAAAACAATAGCCTACTTGTGACTATATAATAAAAGATAAAAGATGACTATTTCACGGATTTAGCCAATTAACTTGAAAAACGTTGCTTTATTCGAGTACAAATAAGTTGCAAGCAGTTCGTATTTGCTGTTAAAGTATCTCAGAAGCATTTAACTCGACACCGATGTATAATGATTAATACTGACATTCAGGCTATATTCAGTAAGCGGATCGTAATGTTTGGTAGGGTAGGAACTATTTGTCGCGGAACGCTTGAAGGGTTTGTTGTTCCGGGCTGCTTTTTGAGGCGCACAGTTGATGGCGACCATCTCTAGAAATTTCTAGTTAAGTAGCAGATTGTGAACGCGCTGTTTTAAAGAAAATAGTCCGCTTTATATTGATCAAGTCGTGATTATTCCTCAGACGATAATCGTACCAACAAAATCTATAATCGTTGCATCCCTAATATGGAAATCATCCGTCTGTGTCTTTAATTTGCGTATTGTCGGTAGATCAGCCGCAGAACTTTCCACTCCCCTCTGCACTTTTATGGGATTGCGCTCTCATGCTAATTTGCCCTGTTTATTAAATCTGGCCCAAAGGCTGTAAAATCAGACTGGTAAGTAGATGAGTTTTTCCTGTTCAGCATGATGATGTTTAATATAAAAGTAAAGGCTTTAAAAAACACACACTCTAGGTTACTAATGTAGAGTAAACTGTGAAAACTTCTTGAGCTTGTGTTAACCACAGACCTTATTTCAGGCATTTATCCAAAACCTTTTCAAAATACACATAGACTTCAGGACGATGGAACCGGAAGTGCAAAAATGCCAACTCGTTTCTGGGTTTTGGCCTACAAAAATGTGTAATTCTTGCAGCACTCTATGAAGTCTCATTTCAGATGTGCATTAGCCGTTCTCTGAATCTTAAGATTTTCTCACTTGGAATCAATCAAAACAGTCAAAGCTATGTGATGCGTACAATTTTGTTAGGAAGGTGAGAAAATCATGTTTAGTCCGTGTTCCTGTGTTTACCAGAATTCGCTGTATTTACATATTAATAAAGTCAAAGTATGGTATTATTCACAAAATGTTTTTTTCCTCAGGTCAGCTACATGTTCATAGTCTTATTGTGCATGATTCATCAGTTCATGTTATTCCAAAGAAAAATAAATGGTCATAATTGTTCATTAATATATTTGAATGGTAGACTACATCAGCATGCTCTCAAGGTTGATCTTGACCTTCAGTCTACATGTCTCAGTCAAAAGTCCTCCTCAAAAGTGTCAAACTACAGAAGTAAAATGGGATGTGAATGCTTTTCATTCTGATATCACGGTGCTGAGAACAGACCCTGAATGTACCCATGTCTGACACTTTGATGTGCTTTCTCATCTGATTGCTCATGCAGCTGAGGACATGCAAGGAAAGACTGAGGAGGAAATCGAGATGATGAAACTGATGGGCTTTGGAGCCTTTGACAGCACAAAGGTGAGATCCCTTTCTTTACTGCTAAACGGTTCATTCTACAAGAACAACCAAACGAGAAGTAGATGTACTTTGTCGTTTGTTTACAATAATGTGTATAGTATTTAATTCGTTTTATATATGACAAATAATAGCAGTTTCAAGTGGCGAAGCTGATCCTCTAAATAACCACAAGATGGCACAGCTAGACAGTGTGTGTATGCTAAAGATATTCCTGTTAAAATCAATTAAAATAATAGTCAATAATAGAAAATCTTAATTGTGTGCTATAAAATTCTTCCCTATTTATTTTCTTCATGCACAGTAATGTTTACATAATTTGAGCATAATGTATGGTGTACGATTGTTGTCATTTTTATTCAACAGGGCAAGAAGAAGGAGGGATCCAATGCTGCGTTTGCATTTAACGTGTCGCAAAAGAGAAAATACAGGTCTGTGTATTTTTTTCCTGAAATTAATACTGGTCATCTGCCCAACTCCAAGATCCTCAACTTGATATTAGTTCTGTGATTTGTAATTCCTGGCTTTATTTTATAAATGAATCCTTTTTTTTTTTTATATGTACAAATGGCAAGTGTTATGAGAAAAGTTAATATCCCAGCAACAGTTATGTATTTGGCCAATCACCCCTGCAGGTACTGCACAGCTAAATGAGGAACGTTCTCATTGGTGGGCAGTGATGTAATGTTTTGGTGCAGGAAGGAGATCAATGATGTAATCATATTTCTCTTGCAGGCAATACATGAACAGGAAAGGTGGTTTCAACAGACCTTTGGATTTCATTGCCTGATGGAGTCGTCAGTAACCACGTTTTAACGACTTTGATGTCTTTGTGATTAAACGTATATTCTCTTTTCTTCCCCGAGTTTATGTATATCTGTGTTTCAGCAGTTTTTCCATCTGTTTTGTTTTTCAGTTAATGGCTGTAATGTACGCGTCAGTTTAGTTTGTAGGAGCAAATATTAAAAAGGATTTGATGTTGCGAATTGATTGCCTTGTATACCTTATTTGGCAGTACTGAATAAATGGGAACTCCTAATGAATATTTTTGTCTGTCCAGTGTTATTGTGCAATTTAAATATAATTTGTTTTTGAAAAATGACAACTCTATCATATATTTTTAATGGTGCTTAATTTGTTTAAAAACCTCAAGAGAAAGAAATAAATACAAGTAAAGAGAATTAGAAAATAATTCCACTGGTATCTGTTTAAAACGTACAAATCATGTCAAGTCATTTTAACCATCAGCATGTACAAGGGAGGTGTGTCTGTTGAGTTCCGGAACCTTTTAAAGGCGTCCAATCACAAGCGACAGTGCTGCGGCAGAACAGCCAATCATAGCATAACAACAACACACGATTTGCATAATGAGCCATTTTGGCTCAGGAGCAAATGCCAGAATACAACGGCACAGGTTCTACCCTCGCTCCAAAATGGCGCTACGGTGCTGCTTAGTTGCACCATTATCTTGCGGAATCGCATTACAGCAGTCACATATTCACGCTTTCGAATGCAGCTCAGCCATTGGTCCGTTCTAGATGCGCTCTGGAAGATTGACAGCAAACGCATCCAATGAGAAGCCCGCTTCCTGTATCGTCCATCCAATAGAATCGCAGATTCTCCCGAGCCTCTGAGAGGCGTACAGTAACATGACAGCAGCTAGCAAACATCTCATCTGCCTGGCTCAACGACGTTATGGTTTCGCTAGCTGCGTGTTTTTTGTCCTATTTTTGATTCAATTTCCTCAGTTGCACACAGCCACAGCTTAGCATGTGCAGCTCGAGCTGTTTAATAAGTAGCCAGATCGTTTGTCACGCTTGAAATATCGAAACCAGCGATTGTTTGGACTTTGGGAGGCCGTGTATTCTATTTCAAAGCCTATTTTCAACGCATTTTTTCAACGACCAATCAAGATTTTTCCTTTTTTTATTACACAACACAATATTGTCTACCACCTCGCTGGACAGGCATATCAAAATTGACGCTTTATTTAATTAAACAAGAAGGAAGAAGGTTGAATGCTGTTTTGTTTTCCAGCCAGCAACCAACAGAGCAGCACCAAAGCTCTAAATTATTAGCAAAAATAATATCACCAGCTGCTTAAATATACTTTTTCTTTTGACAAGCTTTACAATCTGGCAACCTGTACCCTCATCAGCTCGATCTGACCGAGCTGTCAATCCAGTATTTTTGCCTGTTTTTTTTCCAGACTCAACGGTGGTCTCTAGTTAACAGCGTTTGCTGTCAGTATCAGAGCCTACAATTGACCAAGTGCAGAACTAAAGCTGTAAGCTCTTATCTGTTTGACAGCTCATCTATAAAAGTCTTTAGACCTTCCTGAGTGTCACCACTTACATGCTTTCAGGAAGAGTTGCCAGATTTTGCAAACCTGGAAGGGTTTTTGTTGTTCGTGTCGTGTTGTCCTCCCAGTTTTAACATTTGATGTCCAATATCTCGTTTAATATGAACAGGACTAGTTAATTAAGTTGTTTTTGGCAGCTGAGGGACATTTTTATTCGGTTTTTATCATCCAGCTATTTTGGAAACCAGCGTGTTTACTTGTTATATTTTTTTATTCCCCATTTTTGAGAGCCCCCCACTACCATTTTTTGTACAAATTTCTGGTTTTCTGAAATATCAACAAAGCCCAAATCTAAACATTTCCCTCGCTGTCTTATACAATTTTATTTTAAGTAAATTCGCCTGACTGGATTTTTCTTAGTCGAGACGCTGGAGGAGGAAGAAGCGTGATTGAACGAAGGGCTACTGCTTGTTTTTTTTCCTCGTTTATTTCTGACCCGCATTGTCGTTTTTATCGGTGTTTATTGCCTAAAATGACGGCTATTGAGAAACTGCAGATGTTGATCGAAGCAGCTGAATATCTTGATCGGAGAGAAAGAGGTAAAGTGACATATTACGAGATACTTATTTGTAGTCAATATAAAATTGTATTCTGGCATGCAAATTAATCCTGACACTGTTGCTAGGGTGCTGGTCTGCTGAAAAGCAAAAAATGGTTTATTCGACCTATTTATTAGAGGTGAATGCATGATATGCAGACGGGGTTTTTCCCCCCACGTTGTTATGACATTTGGGGAAGATCAAGACATGGAGAACAGGAGAAGTGGCCACTTCAGATGTCTGAGACTGTGTGCTGGCTAGTCACCATACACTTGTCTTTTACAGGGGACACTAATGTGTTGTTAACGCTCTCTAGGGATAAAACCCAAGCGTTTATAGCATATATATATATTTTCATGATTTTTTATGACATGTTTGTGTGCAAATGTGGAACTGAAATGCATTTTTCAAGCACTGCTGTTGGTATACAGTGGAGGGTTTCTGGTGCATCCCCCCTCCCGTCTATCTGTTGTGGTTCGGCTGGCTATTGGGTTTACTCCAGTTCAGATGACATCATTGACCCAAAAGCAAGATATTTGGCAAGAAATTGGTTCGTTTTAACGTAGTGCCTTTCTCCCAGGTTCTAAAAAAATGATCAATGTTTGTGATCAATGGCTTTGATTTTCAGGTAGCCAATGTGCTTTGTGGTCTAATGAGCTTCTAAATGTCTCTGTTTGAATTTGCAGAAGCGGAGCACGGCTATGCCTCCATGTTACCCTTCACCAGCAACAAAGAGAGGGATGGCTTGAAACGAAAAATCAAAAACAAGAAAAATTGCAGCAGCAGGTACTTTCACCTGGTTTCTACGATAACGAAAAGTCTTTTGAAGACATTTTTAGCCTAGTCAATCCTGAATCCATTTTAGAGTTTTATCCGAAGCAAATTTTACATTTTTTTGTATTTTAATTGTTTCTCACCATGAAAACACCAACTAATCAATCTATGATGGCTTGAAACGAAAAACCAAAAGCAAGAACGATTTCAGCAGCAGGTACTTCCACCTAGTTTGTACGAAAACACATTCAAAGTCATTTTTGAAGAAATTGCTCTTTTATAGTATTTGAACTTGTTACTCATCTTGAAAACACCAACCAACTAAGGAATCTACAATGGCTTGAAACGAAAAATCAAAAACAAGAAAAATTGCAGCAGAAGGTACTTTCACTAGGTTTCTATGATAATGAAAACTCATTTGAAGAAATCTTTAGCCTAGTCGATCCTGAATCCATTTTAAAGTTTTTATCCAAAGCAAATTTCAAAAATAGGCACTTTTATAGTATTTTAACTTGTTACTCGCCACAAAAACGCCAACCAATCTATGATGGCTTGAAATGAAAAACCAAGACCAATAACAATTTCAGCAGCAGGTGCTTCCATCTACTTGTACGGAAATACGTTCAAAGAACTTTTTGAAGAAATTGCTTTTTTATAGTATTTTAACTTGTTACTTCACATGAAAACACCAACCAACCAACGAATCTACAATGACTTGAAACTAAAAAAAAATTAGCAACAGGTACTGCCACGTACACTGTAAAAAAAAAAATTGTAATTCAAAAAATTATTTATGGTAAAATACTGGCAGCTGTGGTTGCCAGAACTTCATAAAAAATAAGGTAGCAACATTTTAGGTTTTACAGACTTAACTTAAATTCAGAAAACAAAAATGTTCATTAACTGATGTAATGTTAAAATACCAACCTAGGGAAGTACTAACATCTGCTTTGAACCATTGTAATATACTGATAACCAGCATTAACAGATGGTAATGATAAAGTCACATGATGATTCAAAGCTCATCACAAACAGCTTTTCCACAAGCTGGAGAGGGAAATACTAATATATAGAAGGTGCACACAGAGTCATTCACACAAACACTAAACCCCATCATGGTGACACACATGATACTGAAATAATACAATTAATTTAATACCATTAGATGTAAGATAAAATTCTAATGTACACAACTGAGAAGAAAAAATACTAATAAGAAACCGTTATTTCAACGAAAAAACATCAAATGTAAAGTGTCATGCAGGGAATTCTGTTGTTTCACTGTAAATTATACAATGACTTTCTTTTTCACGTCCAAAAAACATAATTTTAACAGTATTTTACTGTAAAATTACATTAAATGTAATTACAGTTATTCACCGTATATAGTATGGAAACTTACTGTTAACCAGTCGGTGACTGCAGTAGCTTCATGACAGATCTATTAGTGTGCACTCTGTGTATTGTGTGATTGGTCCATATGTTTTTCTACCCTCCGAATCCCAATACGCCCTCTAACCAGGAACATCATCTATGATTCACACATCATTTCAAAGGGACCGTGTGTCCCGTGAGTTATTTCTGAGATATATAGCAGACCTGTGCACGTCTGCACCATGTGTGTACGTGACACAAACACACCCACTGATTCATCCCCGTGCAGATGCAGTCAGGACACGCCGTCCCACATTCAACATGGAGAGAGACGTACACTCACACGCTGCTCGCTTCTTTCCCTGTGACTCTCACCACCCACGTTCCACAGTCACAATTTACTCACTCACTACTCAACACCTCAGTTTTCATAAGCATCAGCCGGTTAGTACGCCTGGAACTGTCCGTCGCCTGTCAGTGGATTAAATCGGTCGCCTTACTTTTTTTCAAAGTAGAGCTGATTGTTATTATTATGTTTATTGTAAATTGCTTGTGTGCCACCTATTATTAGGCAATGCTGTTTTTCATGTTAAAAAGTAGTGAAACCATTCAAACTCATGATTGTTAGTCATCAAGTCATCAAAAGACAGACCAACAGACATGGTCACAATTCATGTTTTGAAGTCTTTTTTCTAAATGCATATTATAGATATTAATTTGAACACCTCATCCATGCACGTTTCATAAAAAAATTGACCTCATTATGTTTAATCACAACACTATACAGGACTTCTCCAATCATTTAGTCTACTTAAACCCAAAGCACACGTTCATCTGCTTTTTGATCATCCGTTACACTCAGATTTACGTCACAATACCAAAGAAAAGATCTGTCGCTACTTCAGTTTCATTGCGACTTTAAGGAGATCATCATAATCATTCTCTATTCTAGATTATTATGTGAGATGTGTATCTTAAACTCCATGTTCTAGAAAA